TGTTGTGACGATAGCCAGCACTTTCATTCATACACTCTTCCATCATTCAACCAATAAACCCGCCATCCGTCCATTCGCTGCCTGTTTACATTTGTTTTCCTGTTGCTGCAACAGCAGCAGACGAAAATCCATTAAAAAGACCAATGATTGCACAAGCGATGCCGAAAAAATGTGCAAACGTCAGCACAAACAGTTGGGAAAACCATCTGTCTGTCTGTCTGCCTGTTGTGCGATTCGTCATGTTCACGGCACGGANGCGAATACTCCTGTGAATCGCATAATTTTCGCATTTAATTAAATTTACAAACCGCTGTCTATCGGCTCATTCGTCTGCTGCAAACATATTTGAACATTAGGGTGCATCACCAAAAAAAAGTTTTCTATCGGAATTATACAATTTATTATATTTTAAAACTTCCGCCTAAATATTTCGAAAAAAATATTAAAATTTACGTGAGCTAGATCGATTGGAAATGCATCCACAGTTCTCATTATTTTGATTCCGTTAATTAATTTTTTAAACAATTTTATGCAGACCTTTTAACTTTAAATTCGTTTATCATCTGAGCTGATTTTTTAGAATGAATAATTTTAAACACTAATTTTATTTATAAAGAAAATTTGATTTTTGGAGGTACATATTTTCAAATAGCTCCAGCACTCATAAACCTAAATATTTTACCGAAATATTTTTTCGCAAATCTTATATACATGTTATAAATTTTATACTAATGCACCCTAATGTACATGCCTCAATATGTTTTATGCCTTTAATTAACAGAGCTATCAAACTGTTTATGAAAAAATGTCTTCCGGCTGGCTGCCTGTGTTGTGACGATAGCCAGCACTTTCATTCATACACTCTTCCATCATTCAACCAATAAACCCGCCATCCGTCCATTCGCTGCCTGTTTACATTTGTTTTCCTGTTGCTGCAACAGCAGCAGACGAAAATCCATTAAAAAGACCAATGATTGCACAAGCGATGCCGAAAAAATGTGCAAACGTCAGCACAAACAGTTGGGAAAACCATCTGTCTGTCTGTCTGCCTGTTGTGCGATTCGTCATGTTCACGGCACGGAGGAGGAGGAGGAGGAGGAGGATGTGGAAAGCAATAACAATTACACTTTACAGATTACAAATTGGTGGCAAGCGACTTGACGCGACACGACGACACAACGACGTTTGAATCACCGGACGCATCCGACCAGGCATCCACCCACCTACACTTCCCATCAAATGCGACCATCAAAAGCCGAAAACAACCATTTGCGCTTGCAATTTCATGAATAGTCGGGCAATTTCGAAATGCCACCCCTTCTGCCGCCCTGCGCGGGGATGGAGAAAATCAAAAGAAAAACAAAACAAAGCTTACTACTTTACAAGTTAATTTCAACATTCGTATTCGCATTCGTTGTTGGCAGTCAAATATCTACACACAAACCGAAGCATTTCTCCAGCACCGCAGCGCTAGCTAGCTACATAGCTACACCCCACACAAAACGCCATCAAGAAAATGAATCTTAATTCGGCTTTTCTATTCTAATACTTCTGAATAACGGCCTGAGTACACGTGCAATTGCCGTAATGACATCGAGAGCGCCTAGCAACCCCGACCTAGCAACAATGACTGACTCGACTGGTTTTAAGAAACCACAAAATTGCCATTGAGACTACCCGCTGAGTGTGACAAAAGCGTTTGAGATTTCAAAGTGCCACCGGTAGTAGAAGCCCATCAAGCATTTCGGCCGCCCCCCAAGTAAAGTGCTGCCATCAAACACCCTCTTCTTATTGCCGGTATTCATGCGTCTTTTTTTTTGTTTTTAAATTAGTCAAGCTCACTTTTGGATTGGGCAAAATGGAGTGAGGGGTGTGATGATAGGTGTTGACGAATGCGTGCAGATTGAAGGTGATTTGGTCGCAACAAAAGCGTTAAGCAGTAAAATTACTTGTTCTTGTGTACAATAAGGTTTCTTAGCACTGATTTCTGACATCAACCTCATGGAAGGAGGTAAGCAATCGGCTTACAGAAACTTCTAATCAGTTAATGCTAAGCTTAAGGACATCAGCGGTTTGGGGTAAATTTTTGGAAAAAACAATTCACTACTTGCTTTTGTTGAGAAAATCTTTAATCCTAAAATAAGCTAGTTTTAGTCTTATGCTTTAGTTCAAAGAGGACTAAACTTAGCAAAAGATTGGTATGTGGGTAAGGATGGCAAGATTAATCAAATGAAGAGCATTAATCAAGTAATTTTTTTCAGAAATCGATTTAATCGAATCAAATTTCCTGTTGTGATTAATCGAATCATTAATCGATTATTTACGAAATTAATTTAATTATAACATCTAAACATTGCTGTCACTCACAACATTTTTCTTCATATCCTAATTCGTACTACAACTCGCTTCAAAGTTTTACCAAAATGGCAGCTCTGCCTGTGCGTAAAAAAAAGCCTTCCATTTCTTAAAGTCACATCACTGATTGCAACCAGGAGGCACGTCATTGTCTTTGTAAATTCGCAGAACTAAACGCGCGTGTTCAAAGTGGCTCCTGTAGGAGGTGAATTTTGAAAATTTCACACAAAAATTGATGATACTAGTTTTATTAGATGCAGACTTTGTGATAAAATGCTAAAATACTCGAACAATACTAGCGACATGATATGAAAAAAAGTGATTTCATTATTTTAATATCAAAAATAAAATTAATCGAAAATGCTGATTAATCGATTAATATCTTGTAATTAATTGCAATTAATTTTTTGGTGTTGCAATTAATCATTTGTTACATTAATCGAGTAATAATATTTTTTGCCATCCCTATGTATGGGCATGTGTCTGAACATCATCCCTTCCAAACCAGTTATTGTTAGCAACCCTTCCAAAACAGTTATGGTCCCCTTTTCTAGAAGAAGAACACTTCCAGGTAAGAGGAACATCACTTTGAATGGCGTCGCCTACCTACAATGAAGGTTTAGTCCTGGATTCCTGTGGAAGGCACATGTTGATGCGATCACGTCCAAAGCCACGAGCGCTCAAATGGTGTGCAAACTTCTCACAGACACGACTAGTGGCTTCAGTTCCAAGATCTCTAGATGGATGCATGCCTCAGCGCTGGAGGTGATTCTCTAGCTTGAGCAACTGCATCTTAGTTAAAAGGATAATAAGTATAACCGCTAACCCCTGGGGCTCTCTTCAAATTTCTGGGATCTCTATGGTTGGATGAGCTACTGTGAATAGTTGAAGGCACAATGGACTTGTTGGTCGCAATGTGTCATGTATATCTCTCTATTTATGCTGTCTGAAGAACACAATTATAATAGTTCTACAATAACTCCTCTCATTGGAAATAGCATACACGAAATCAAATTCTAAAGATAAAAAATTGGTCAATGGGTCAATAAACTTATAAAATATAGGCAGAGCTTAAAGAAAAGAATAGAGAACAGCACTGGCATTAAAATTCTGAGCATTGCCAGGCAAAGCTATTGAAAATTTACAATTATTGCAGATTAAGAAATCACCAATGCAAACTCGGGATCTAATCTAACAATTCATGCCATTTTTGTGGAAATACTGCTGAAAATTGTGAGCACCTGCTACTCGAATACGATGCAGTATCTAAAACGCCTTTCGATGTTACAAACAAACCGATTGGATTTCCCAGGGGAATTCGAATTGTACGAGGTGTTGTAAGGAGGAAGAAGGCACAATAGATCTCCTGGTCGGAGTGCATAGCTCAACAAATATGTATCTATCTATCAATAGGCCAATGTGAACATGTGGCTGGCTAGTCATCTATCCTGCTGATCTTATAATCCACAAACCAATTAAATCAAAGCTATCTCCGCGGAACCGTAAAGCCAGGTCCCTTCAAAAGACGAATAAATGCGGGCGAATGTTCTTGCGATTTTTATAATACACAGCAGAGTCGGAAATATGCCAAATTGTTCCCCAGTAGGCAAGGTGAAGAGCGCTTTTAAATCAATGCTTTCAGGCAGGGCTTTTGTCAATCTAAAATTCGAAAGCGAATGAGAAGGATGTTTCGAAAACTAAGGAAGTCAGGTCAAATTCAGACTGCGTGAGTACTATTTCGTGTAAATTTCAAATAAAGGGATAACGAATCGAACACAGAAGGTCTATAGCTTTAATAGCCCAAAAAGAAGGTAGGCGTTCTCAGACGAATTTCGTCTATCCTGAAATCTCTAAACTTTGACACACTATTTAAAGAGTGGGCAGCCAGTCCAATGTATAAAGACCTACTCAGAGCCACCATGGGCGAACACTGATTTGTTCCCTCAGAAGCAGAGTCAAAGTCGAAAAGTTTAAGAGTCTCTGGTCTGCACCGAAAAATATCTCTGTGGTCCTTGGTCAGGCCACGACGCCCAAGTCTTTGCCAATCTTGCCTGCGTGAAAGTGGTTTTAGGACGAGACCTGTAAAATACGACCCTCTGAAGGTATCATATTTTTTATAGCGACTCTAAATTAAAGTGGTTTTTGTGAGAAACTGTTTCATTAAAAAGTAAGTTTAGAGGCTTTTATATCAGAGAAGCCTCTTATTTTGGTGTCTAATTTATTGACGAATTCAAACGGACAGTCGACGTTCGTAGCAGAACTATTTGGTTATGAAAGGAATGAAATTCAGACATTCTTGAAAAATTAAATTCAAATTTTCTCTATCACGGCAAAAAACGTAAAAAATTAAGTTCACAAGTTGAGCATTAAATACCAATAAAATTAGGGAGTAATGCCGGATTTCCACTGGGCATTAAATTGTAAGAAATTGTAGTGAAAAATTCGGGCATTTCAATGCCTAGTGGAAATACGGCATAACTTCGTTTCCATGTGGAATTTTTCAAACAGCGCCATTAATTTGTCATTTCAATACCGAGTGGAAACTTGGCATTATGTACAGCTTTCAATACTGACAGAAAATAGAATTGATTTAATTTCTCATTATTTCAACTTGATAATGAATAAACAGTTTTCAAAATATTTACCAAATATATTACATATACGTTGAGGATGGGAGAATTCAATCAAAATGCATACCTGAAATAAATAGAAAAATTACATTAATTTAGTGGCTGTGGTTTGAATAAATAAAAAAGTGCATTTCAAGATAACAAAAAGCTGCCACCGCAGCATATTTTTAAATTCTACAAATTAGTTTAAACTAAAATTATATACTATCGGCCTTATAATTAAAAACTAAGCAATCGCTTTTTCTTAAAATATCAGAACCCTTACTTAAATTTATTTGAATACAACGTGTAATATGTCTGAAATTTTAAGAAAAAGCAATTGCTTAGTTTTTATCGATAATGCCCATTGTCTTGCTCAGCTCAGCAACAGCACGAATAGTAAGTGTAAAATCAATAGATCAATGGATAGCCAAAGTACACAAAAGACTCCTTTTAGCAAATACAATGAACCAGCAAGTGCAACAGTGTTGCACACAATATCCTGCTGATTGCGCATACGGAAGCGTACATGCGGTTCCTTTTTTTTTTTTCTTACTGCTACATAAATAGACACCTCAAACACAATAAGGCTTAAAAAGAAACACTCTGAAGTAGTCTGCTCGAGTTAAGAGTGTGTGTGTTATATTGGCTTGCTTGCAACAATGCATCGAGGAGGCACACGACATACATACACACATACATACTAGCGACAAAATTCAAATGCCACGAAGGACTTGTAGAAAACAATATGTGCTTGGCTTGGACAACAATACGGGACACACGTGGCACCCACTCACAAAGCTCGTCAAGGCCAATAACTGGTATTGGCTTAGCAGCGAGTTGCTGCGAGAAAGAATCATTCAACTTTTCACGCATTTGAAGGTTGCATTTAAATTTTGCTATAAAAATATAAAAGTAAAATGTTGTTGTAAGCATAGAAACAAAACAAAAAAAAGCAACCTGTTGTTGAGAGTGCCCCATACTTGGTGGCATGGGAGGTTACGCTTGTTGCAGCTGCTTTGGCTGCAACTCAGGTCAAGGCTAACACGTTGCGGTAAGCGTTTGGCATTTGCTGTGCACTGGCGAAGGGTAATTGAATGCAAACAAGGCAGAAAATTGGCGACAAGGACATGCAGATGATATGATTGTAGATAGATAATGAAGGATGGATGGAAGCAATTATTAATAGAATGCAGGATTTTAAAGCAAATAAAGTCGATTGGTTTCTGGTTGAAATATTTATCTACCTTGAACGAAGACAAAGCAAAGAGTGTCGTTGATATGACTACTAGGAGTCGCGACTTTTCTGAAAAATCCTTGTATTGTGATTCGAAACTCAATGCTATTCGAAAGGCGAGATGGATTAATACAAATTCATAGTGCCAAGTATTTGAAACCGAATGATGTGTTTTTGGAATCACAATGGAGAGTATACCCCAAGCTTTGAAAGGAGGCACACTGTTGCCACCCTTGGGCTCTTCACTTATTTGCTTTCTCTAGAAGTAAAATCAACTCGTCGTTCTGATGAATGTCGATACTAGGTTGTTCTTAGTTTAGTCAGACACTCAAGAAAGTAGTTAGGAAATGAATGTCGGCGGGCCTAGCCAATGATGGGTAGTGACATGTAAATAATATTCTATAGCCTCCATTTATTTTGCATAATGGCAGCTGCGACAGAATTCTTTCGACTGGAAACCCATTCGGTGACAGCTCCCAGTTTTTCCTGATTGCGCTTTTCCAGGTATAATAGTAATCTGCTAGATTGTATAGAAGAGCCCTTTCTCGGCGAACAAAAATTACGCACTACAAATTTCTCATCATGGCCGTTGTCTTATATGGCACGGAATCATAGACGACGTCGAACAAAGATGAGAAGGCTTTAGAGGTTTTCGAGAGAAATATTCTACGGAAAATATATGGCCCTGTTCGCGTGGACGGCAGGCACCGAGGAAGATGAAATGACGAGCGCATAAAAGTACAACGATTGTGCTGGCTTGGATAGCAACGCTCTAGTTAATATATCCTTCAACTATGCACCCGTGGTTGGACAACGAAAGCAAGGGCGCCCAAGAACAAAATGGCAAGACCAAGTGCATAAGGACCCCCCTGTCCTACTGTCCCCCCTGGGCTACTCTGTAATGCGATGCGAAAGAGAAATGCGATGCTATAGGCAAATACGTCGTAAGTAATACGCTGCGGCGATTGCCTATCGCATCGCAGGTCTGCACTCGGGATGTACAACTGGTGCAACCTCGCAAAGCAGACAGACAGATTGGCGAAGTTTGTGTGGTCTCGGCTAAAACTGACGAACGGTTGTATAGTCAAATAAGAAGCCTACTAATTGATTACTGCTGAATGTTTTTTCTCTTCCGCGCCCTACTGATAGCTTCTATTATGATATTTTTGTAAGCGCTGCCATTTCCACTTTACCTCTACTTAGGGTTTGCATAAATATATTTAATTTACACCTCCATCCGATCGTCTATACGGCATTGTATTGGTGATGCAGGAGAACATAAGTGTGATTTGAAAAGTAAAGGTTTTTGAAGGATCCGCAAATGAGAGCACATCGGTAAATATCGCTTTTGGACAATGGACCCAAAAAAAACTGTCAACAGCTCTAAACAAATTTTTTACACATCGAGACTATATCTAAAATTCATTTCTATTGGCGGTATAATAGGTTTTTTTTTTTTGACAGTGGGCTATGCTTAAAATTCGCATTCCTTACTCCTTTGCCTAAGAAGCAGATGTGCCAGATGTTCTTCCCCGGTCGCAGCTTCCTCCCGTTTTGATGTGAACAACGGAACGTTCAATGTGTACAATTTGCTTTTATTTATTGTATTTTACTCTCATTTTTATCACTGTCACTTGACTAATTAATCAAAGTAACTGCATTGCTGTCATTTTATACTTGATTGCCAATGTGATTTATGTATGCCTTGTTTGTAGATACACATTTTACTGCACTTGCTATAATATAATTGAATGACCATTGAACGCCATTGAATAAGGAAGGTGCCATCGATGATGCTTACAGTCAGTCACAAGCGAATGCTCGTATTGTCGGGAATGCAGTCAATTAAAAGGCGCTGTTTATAAACGTCGATTGCAGTGATTGGTTTAGAATATTTTCTAATTTTCTTAAACTAGACAGCCCGTGGAAATTGTGGAAATAGGCGCTTACTTATTGTAGACCACAATGGGTGGTGAGAAACTTATGTTGCCCTAAGGTGTAGTCTGGGCGTGTTTTTTTCCTTTCAATTTTGCTTCACTTTCTTGTGACAGCATTTTGTTGCGACAACAAACCGCAAATGAAAAACAAAGTGATTTCAATCTGTCCAAAGCCGCAATTTCCTTAGATGTAAAGAAAAATCAAGTTTTCCATTAATTTGTCTGGAATAATTTCGCTTCCGACTTGCTTTTTCGGTCATCGCGTGCACTTTCAAATGCTCCAGCGATTTTCTGCGAAATAGTTTTCTTTTGCGCTGCAATTGAGGGAGCGGCAGTCTGCTCGCCGCAACGAGTCGTTGGCATTTAGGTTTGTTTTGCCATTTTGATGTGATTCCCATAATTTTTGCCAAAGCGAGTGAGTATGCGAAAGGTTTGTTGACTGTAAGGTAGACAAAAAAAAAA